CTGCTGTTGAACAACCAATTCCTAAAGAGGAAAAAAGCAAAATTAGCTAAAAATTACTACTCAGTATGATCAGTTTTTTGTTCTGCAACTTAGTATTATAACACATCTCATTGCTGCTCTTACAAGTTTAAAAGACAAGACTGTCCAAGTTCTCCAAGTAACTCATATACAATAGCAACTTACTTTCATCATCCAGTTTTTCCAATAAACTCTTGTTATTTGCAGTTAGGCTATAACTAAATAAAAGTGTTCGCTCTTTTTCCACGATTTTTCTTGAAATCAGTATTGAGTGAGGAATTTATAATTTCTACTGCAGAAGTTTAAAGTCAGATTTTAATATCTGAACTATAGTTTAATATAGCCACTATAGTTTCTTCATAGTCCAGAGACAGGCAGGCCCCAACAGCTGATTCAGCTCATCCTAAGGCAGCTGGGAAGCACTGCCCTCAAAGGTGCCTATCTCTGAACATAGTATACAAAGAAACTTGCTAGGACTGCATGCCTGAAGTTAGATGATTCCAGAGAACCTAGAAATCCTACTGGTTTTGTTAACATTAGGATTAGTGAAATGTCAAAAATTTTACAATGCTCAATTCATTTTTTAGATACATTCAGATGTACAACAAGAATAATAAAAACCCCAGTCTGATTCAGTTTTGTACAAAGGAAGAAAACATTCTACACAAATGAACTACAAAAATTGTTACGGTTGTTTTTCCCTTTTGTTTGCTTTCAATACATGATGAAACAACTAAGCACTTTGGTGGCTTTTAATATCTGTATGTCAGTCCTCAGCTTTAAAATAATAAATACAAAAAGATAAATTATTTGGTTTTAGTTAATACCTCTATTTAATTTTCAGGCACTTCTGTGACTGATTGAGGTACCAACAAACTTTTTTTGTTGTATTACTCCATTCTCAAGCTCTTAAATAATTAAATTGCTTCTGGAATCAATGGAATCAGATTGAGAAACATTTTAGGTAAGTACAATGAAACAAACCAACCTGAGAAAGCTTTTCGTTTGCAGCCTTCATCTTCATATATTTAGCTTGATTTTCCTGCGACATGTCTTTTATTATGTCATCTGCTACAACCTTTTCATGTTCAATATCTTCTTCTACATCATGAATTAACTTTTCTATGCTGTGAAAAAAGGAAGGCGTAAAGATGTGTTCTCGCTGCTTCATGTACTTCTAGTACTTTCTATGAAATTCCTGAGAGCTAGAGAGTCAATTTCAGACAGCTAAAGAAAATAAACAAAATTCCTCTCACCATGAAGACTATACCTTCCTTCATGAAAGCTTTTTTACACTGTTCTCTTGTTTCCAGAATGCTATTCTGGAAACAAGCTATTCTGCTATTAAGGAAGTCAATAGTGAAAGAAGGCTAGGGAAAATGTGGGTCCTCTCCAGAAAATAACAAGAGACCTGGCCACACAGGACATGGAGAAGGCTGAGGTACTTGGTGACATTTTTGCCTCTGTCTTCACCAGCAAGGGCTCAGGCCACACCACCAAAGTTGCAGAAGGTAAAGGCAGGGACTAGGAGAAGGGAGATGCACTCACTGTAAAAGAAGTGCTGGTTCAAAACCATTTAAAGAACCTGAAAATGCACAAGTCCAATGGACCTGAAGACATCCCTCCGTGACTCCTGAGGGAACTGGCAGATGAAGCTGAGAAGCTGCTTTCCACCATATTTGAGAAGTCATGCAAGTCTGATGAAGTTCCCACCAACTGGAAACAGGGAAACAAAACCCCCATTTTCAAAAAGGGAAGGAAAGAAGACCCAGGGAACTACAGCCAGTCACTCTCACCTCTGTGCCTGGCAAGATCATGGCGCAGATCCTCCTGAAGGCTCTGCTAAGGCACATGGAAAATGAGGAGGTGGTTGGTGACAGCCAACACGGCTTCACCACAGGCAAATCATGACTGACAAACTGGTGGCCTTCTACAGTGGGGTCACAGCATTGGCAGACAAGGGCAGTGCAACTGATATAATCTACCTGGACTTGTGTAAAGCCTTTGAGACTGTCCTGCATGACCTCCTGTTCTCTAAATTGGAAAGATATAGATCTGATGGATGGATCACTTGGTACATAAGGAATGGGCTGGATGGTTGCACTCAAGGAGTTGTGGTCACTGGCTTGATGTTGAAGCAGCATGGCTAGCAGGTCAAGAAAGGTGATTCTCCCCATCTACCCGGCTCTCGTGAGACTTCATCTGTCCAGTTCTGGAGCTCCCACCACAAGAAGGACATGGAGATGTGGGATCAAATCCAGAGTAGAGCCAGGAAGATGATGTGAGGGATGGAGCACCTCTGCTATGGAGACAGGCTGAGAGAATTGGGGTTGTTCAGCCTGGAGGTGACTCCAGGGAGTCCTTCCAGTACCTGAAGGGGGCTACAAGAAAGCCAGAGAGGGACTTTTTACAAGCGTGTGTAGTGATAGGAAAAGGGGTAATTGTTTTAAACCGGAAGAGGGGAAATTTAGGTCAGACATGAGGAAGAAATTCTTCACTGTGAGGGTGGTGAGACATTGGAATGGGTTGCCCAGGGCAGCTGTGGATGTCCCCTCCCTGGAAGTCTTCAAAGCCAGGTTGGATAGGGTTTTAAGAACAACGGGAGGAGACTGAACCATTTTGTAGTTTGATGCTGCACATTGGACAAAACGAGCATCAACAAAAGAAAAAAAAATTGAACCTAGTGTTTGTATATCAATATTATCCCTTTTTCAACCTGCACATAGAAATGCTCTCAATTAACTGTCAAGTAGAGTTGTTCTCAAGAGCAAGCATCATTTGTTTTTAGAATGTCTTCCTGAAATACAGCCCATACAAAAGATGTCTCCAAGTGCTTGTAATACTTTGTAAATAATTTGCTTTACATATCATACCTTGCAGCTCCTCTGATCATGATGTTTCCAAACTTTTACTTCAGTATGCAAATATCTTGACATTTTCTTCATTTTACCACTCAGCAGATAAAAAATGAAACTGTTTTTCCGTCTCCAGCATTTCTTTAATTAGTTGTAACCCAACTTGCTTGTAAATTCCCTGTGGCAATTTAACTCAGTGCTTCCTGTATGACATGGAGTTTGACACTCAGGCATACCACTATTAGACTTCACTGCCTGCAGATCCAATTAAATCCAAGATGATTATAATGAGTTGCTCAACCTAGTAAATCTTTTGCCAAGGATTTTCTAGGTGTATTTTTATTTATTTTTTTTTTACACTGCCTGCTTATTTATCAAGTACAAAGGTTGAACAAGAAGAGCTGTTGCACCACATTACTTCTCAGTGCATTGGAAAAATCTACATGTGTGTACATATGCTGCCTTTAAGAAGCAACAGAAAGGTAAGACACTTAGCAAGCCTTTTTCAAATCATAGAAGATTTATTAGTAGAACTTTGTTGCTAGACTGGAAACAAATACACCTTGAGATAAAATAAAACTTCAGGATTTACTATGAACCTTGGACATGTCAAGTTGTCGGGTAAATTGTACTCCAGTAGAAAGCCAGAAAACAGTCTGCTTCTACGCTGAAAAACAGACTACCTCATTATATAAACTCAATTACCACCCTAAACCTGTTTTAATTCACAAATGTGAGAAAATCAAGAGGTTTACATTACTATGAAATTATAAAATCTCCAAAAGCTCTCAATGGAAAGCTTTTTAAGAAAACCCTTTTCATTACAAGGAAATACCCAGGTATTACCAATGTATTGCGAGGCTTGGTTTCTTTCCAAAGCAATTAATTTAAACAGCAATTCTTAAAGTCTAGTTCTAGTAAAAATCTAAACTGCAATTAAAATTACAGATACTTTCCTGTTCTTCTACTGATTATATGTTTCTACACACGCAATGCAGGAAATACAATTTGTAAGAAACACCCAGTTTTCTGTAGAAACTTAATTAAAAAATAAGAACAACGGTTTTGACTTAGATATCTGTAGAATGAATTCTTAGACAGGAAAAGTTTTTTCCCAAATTAATGGCATTCCCTTCACTCAGGTATTTCAACTTTCTACTTGAAGTTTTGACAAAAAATAAACTTCTATTTTTTAACTTGTTATTAACTTACAGACTAATTTTTAAAACAGCATTTAAATATCTCTTCCCCACTCTATTAAAGACAGTATTTTTCTTCAAACCTGCAAACTGCAATAATACTATCAATCTGTATTTCTAGATTGCCTGGTTAAGGTCCAGTCTATTTCTGAACATCTTGGAAGTGGTATGTTTAAGGTCCAAGTACGGCATGAGATCAAACACTGTTAAGATAGTCTATATCAGGAATTCTCAAACTGCATCATGTTTTCCACTAGCAATACACGAACTGGCTCCGAAAATAGGCAGGCCACCAGTACCATCACAGACAAAAACAATACCTAACACAGAACATAACACCTCAGTGGCTGCTACTGCTAGTAGCCCTTGTCCCCACCCCTGATAACATCTAACAAAAAGGGTTACACACTTCCTTTATTTAATATAAATTTCCAACAGCAACAGAAATAGTGTCTTTGAGCAGTATTAAGCATCATTTATATTCTTCTTTCCAAGAAGTCAGTATGTTTCCAGGCTGATTCAGCTAGGTCAGCCTTCAGACACACAAATGTAGAGACCAATTTTTCTGTGACCTCATCTACTCCATAATGACGAGCAAACGCCTTCTGCCACTCTTTCTAAGGACTGGTGGAAGTCTGTTAAATCTGACTGGATGCCTACATCTAGGATTGTTCATGAACTGACCTTGCTTTTGCAATTTCCCCCTCTTTTCTATGTTAAATTCAGGGAATAGTCTCTACGGTTCAAGATACAATAGGCAATTAAACTTTACACCTCTATCTTACACTTTATTTCTGGGTCTTTTTTAATCCAGATGGAAATGTGGGAAGGAGATAATGAGATTCACTTAGCACACTCCCTTTTCTCTTCAGATTTTTTATGAAAAAAGTGTAAAAATGAAGAGATAATCTACCTTTCACATAACAATTTAACTCAAGTCTGGCATAAACAGGGTCTGATTTAACATCTGGCAGAGAAGATTTCACATTCCTGTTCAGAATTAGTAGCTATTGCAAATAACACCTGATTCAAAGGGGATGGATGAGTGACACTTTCTCTTAGGGATGTTCATAGTAGAGTGAATACCATTTGTCAGAAAAGCTTTCCTGACTCTCAAAAAAAAGGTTGAAAGCTGTACAAAAACTCTAACACAAGAGACTGAACCATGTTTACTTAGTTTCAAAGACCAGACCAACAGTTACACCTTCATAATAGAGAGGTCCAGGTTTATGTCACATGATATATGTTACTTTTTTTTATGGATAATAAAGAGATTAGAAGATCAATCTACTATTTTAAAATATTGTTAAAATATTTTTAGTAACTTACATAAGAACATAAGAGAAATTTGACCAGATAAACCAACAATCCATCTAGTACAGTATTCTGCCCCTGTCAGTGGCAACAAATGAGATTATGTAGGGACAGCATGCAAACCTGAATACTTTCTGCCATTTACTCCTATCATAGTGCTCTAGTATCCTTAATTGCTTTAACAGTGATATTCCAGAGTACAACACTGCCTATTTGTTTTATGTATTTAGAAAACTGTTCCCTATTAACTTGATTAATCTATCAGTTTAGTATCTGCTGATACAGCCTGCTCACTGGATTTTAGATTTGGTTGAATTAAGTGAAAGTTGAATTAATTAATTCTGACAATCTATCTTAATTTTAAATTTCATAGTATTTTTATGGCACAATATTTATTATATTAGCATTAAAATAATGACATCTATTAATTTGTTAAACTACTACTACAGAAGACACTGGTATTCTGGTCTTGTTATACAGAAGTGTTGTTTTTCTCTAGGCTCGAAACATGAAATTTTCTTGGTTTGTGATCTGGGCTGGCACACTGTTTTTTAATCCAGTCACTGCTGACTGCAACTCTGCTGCTCAAACAGTAAGTTTTGTATGCAAGTAAATTACTTTTACTTTTTAGAGACAGGCTAGATCCCAAATGCTTTTTAAAAACTACCTTGTAAACACAAAATTCCTAAAAAAGAATGACACAGAGACAATTAAGAAGATGTGGTTTCCTGTGAAATGGACAATTAGTCGCCCGTAGTCATTGCAGCTGGGTAAATAACACTGAAACACATTTGAGATGGTTTTATATCTCAGTCAAATCACTCTGTAGACAACAGGAGTGTCTTCTGTATCTTTACATCATTTTGGAATAGACCTAAAAAGCAACAAGGCCAACTACTGATCAAGTTAGAGAGATTTATTGAGTTGGCACTTGCCCAAGTCAGGTTCAAATATATATCAGAAATTGTAAACATTTTTTTCAGAGTCTGATTTACTGGATTTTGTATTTATTGGGGAATGGGCAAGAAAGAAGATATCTTGATTAAAAGAGTCAAGTGATAAGCGCTACTTGCTCTGACCCACGACCTGCAGGTCCAAAGTGTATCTACTGTTTGATTACTCATCTTTGGGACAAACATGAAGAATAAAAAAAAAAACACACAATGGGTATATACAATGTAAAAAAGGCATCCCACTACATAAGCTATCTAACTCTATGTGATGGTCACAGAAGTAATAAGATGAACATAGGCTACTTACTTAGGAAGAGGGATAAAAAAACCAAGCTGTTTCCAATACTTAGAATCTCCTTTAAAGGCATTTCAAGTACCTTGACATTGAACTGTATTCTGCAGTGATGAATACAAATACATATAAAGAAATCTACTCTTCAGAAAACAAAAAGTATTCTTCACTTCAAAGTATCGAGAGTAAAGACTTCAACCCAGAAAAACAAAATTAATTTGAGCACTATATTTATAATAAAGAATTATACTAAATGTTTTGTTGCAGGCCTGCTCCAAAGATGTTTTAAAGACTAAACACAGCTGGTTTTCTAAGAAATCACATTTGAAAAAGCATACTAGAATTAATTTTCAGCCTGGAATTGACTTCCTCTGTCACCTTCTTTCCCGATAAGGCGAGAAAGGAATACTTTTTCTACCCAGTCTAATTTCATATTTCTAAAATAAACAGCTCTACTAACTTCAAACAGATTGCGAAGCTAATTATATCTTGCATGACGATCACTTCAAGAGCCTTGTATCTGAGACAAGAGTTTAAGCATGATGTGATCTAGAACTCCAGGTCTCTATACACTGGGAGTCATTACCCCATATCACCAGACAATGAGTACATTAAGTAAAAACTTTTGCTTTAAAGTGCTGGCATTACAAAATACAAGAATGATTTTTCATGGCCTTAACAGTCACCCCTGAGACACCATCATTATCAGACTTATCTGCATTTTTTAATTGTTGTCATTGTCTTTTTTTCAACAGGTCACCTGTGAGGAGTCTGGAAAGAACCTCTCTAGTATCTCCACTAAACTTTTCCAAAATGTTACTAAGCTAAGCCTCAAAAATAATAACATCACTTTAAAAGACAGCGAGAAAGAGATTCTTCAAAGTTTAATTAACCTGACTGAACTTTATATTAATGAAAACTTGATTACCATACTGTACAATAACAGCTTCTACAACCTGTCAAAACTCTTACTTCTGGATATCAGCAATAACCAAATTAGTACAGTGCATAAAGCAGCATTTGCCAGATTAAATAATCTGTCAGTGTTGAATCTGTCTTGTAACAAAATTTCTCAACTAGGTTCAGATGTATTTATGTCTCTAAAAAGTCTGACAATTTTAAATCTACAGCGTAACTTTCTGAACTCTTTAAGTATAAAATCATCTTTTAAATTGACTAAAATTGTTTTAGCTGGAAACCCATGGACTTGTTCCTGTGACCTTCTTGATTTACAGACCTGGCTAACTGCCTCCAATGTGACAATGGGTAAGTTTTGCTAAGAGCAGCATTTTATACTTGTTTATATTAAACAGCCTTTTCTTTTTTTTTTTTTTTTCTTTTTCCTGATCTGGATAATATCCACCATCAACTTATCTGTTTTTTGCAGCAATATATTAGTTATCCATGAACATTTTTTATTTTAATTAACAATATCTCATACTTTTCCACTTTTCACATTCACAGAAAATGAAAGCAATACCACATGCACATTCCCAGCAACCAAGGAAAAATTCTCCATCAAGATGGCACCTATCAAAATAGCTGACTGCAAAACTGCAAAATCTTCTTCAGAAAACCCTGAAACATCCACTTCTGCCATTAAGCTTAAAAGTAGTGCATTACTAACAACTCTGACTCCAAACAACATCACTGAAAACAACGGAACACATGCAGGTACTATAATGATATTTTGGTTTACTGCTTAGAAGCTGTTTGATTTGTTGTTCCATAATTTCATATGAAAACTGGTATCAGTTTATACAATCCAGTATCAGTTTGTACGCCTAGTACACTGTAATTCTTCCATAAAATGCAGGGCTATGGAACAAGCATACTTTCAGGTTTTGGCAGATGGTATGCAAATTATGGTGATTGTTAGACTCTACTGAATAAGAGTTAAAAATGGATAAGCCACATTTAAAATCTCAAATGATACTAGAAAATGATGATGTAATTTCAAAGGCTTGAAATTCAGGTAATTGTCCAGATCCCTGTCTAACAGAACTAGGGAAGCATCTTTTTAGAAAATCAACTACTTCTTCCAAACTAACTGCTTTCTAGATGTCTCTGTCTTCTTTAAAAGTGAATTAGTGACCCTACAAGTTTTAGTCCTGTCCTCAACTGAGTTCAGTGTAAAGGACACAGATATGGCCATGCCATATTTGTTGTTAGTCTCCTTATTTTTCTTCACCTTTTCACTTTAATTCCATCATCACTGTGTAATACTCCAGCTTTTATTTTGGTAATTTATTTTTTTCTTATATGCAAACTGATGTTCTCCACTCTTCCATACCAATATGCTTTACTTCTTGCTTCCGGCTGAAGCAGAAGCAGTATCAGTCTCCAGGTACATAAAAAAACTGTAAGCCACCACTACCACAGATTCCTTTTGCTGTAACAGATATCATCTATTTTATGACGGTGCCCACTGCACACACCAGCTTGTAAAGAAAGACTTCTGCCAACAACAGTCCATTGAAATGGTTATTATAAAAGAAATGCAACTGAAAGGACATACCAAACAAAAAAAGGAATCTTTCAGGATGCAGATTTAATCACAATACAGAAATTTAGGCCTGGGAAATAGAACTTGAAGTAAATTACTGATTTTGTATTTTTCCCAAAGCCCAATCTTTGAATTTAAATTTTGAAAAAAAAAAAAAAAATATTTTGTATATTGCCAGAACTTTATCTGACTTTGAAACTATTACTTAATTTTTATAAATATGCATGGCAGATTTATATTGCCAGGAAACAGGAGAAGCACGTGCAAAGCAGTAACATTCTCCTAAAGCTTTGGAGACATTCCTTAATTCCCTTATCATTGTTTATTTTGTGTGTTCTTGACCTATGAAAAAAATAATCCTGGAGTTCCTGCTGCTATTCCTCATGAAGATGACTCCTCTTTTTTTCCTGTCTGTTTTCAAGAGTTACCACTTGGCAAAAGCTGGACCTTCCTAGCAGGTGTCCTAGGGTTTGTCCTAGGCACTACACTCCTGATTTTCACTGCTGTAAAATGCCCGACATGGTATCACTATGTGATCAGCTACAGGCACCGCCGCCTGCAAGAAAATAACTCAGAAATGTTTGAACAGGAGTTCTCAGCGGACGCGAGTTCTTCTCCTACAGCATCAAGCACAAGCAATGAAGATCCCATAGTAATCTTTGAGAAAATTCATAAATTTGTGCCTGAGGAAGATGGATATATTGAGGACAAATACATAGATTCTTAAGTAACTGAGGAGAGTTAAGGTCAAACAGGGGATGATGAACTGACTTTTCAAAACTGTAGTGCACTTGTACTTTCATATTACAGTACTTATGTACAATACAAAATGAAGCTGAGCAGTCTGAATCCTTTCATCTCATCAAATCCTTAACAAGGGTTTGCCACACACATTAGGAAGCTAAAAAATCTGATGTGCATGTATTAGCATTACACCAAATATTTTAAAACATGCAAAAAATACTTATAAGCCACTTTTTATTAAAAAAGCCTATTCGGTTGTTTATTGTGGAGGAGAAAGCTAACTACGTATTACATAACATTAACACGTCTTTACAAAATAGCTTGTAAAGTTGGCATAATGACTAATGCTTTTTATGTGAAGAAGACCAAAAGGGAAAAATAACTTCCCTAAAATGCTGAAGCAAGCCATACCCACACTGGGGACTGAATCCAAATCAATGGTGTCACAGCTCAGTAGTCTGTTATGCGAAACTATCATAGAGAACAGTGCATTTGAGGGTTTTTTTTTAACTCAAATTACCAGAGCAAGAAAGGGTGACTGCTCCATTCTCTGAAATGTGTCTACATGAAGCACAACAATAAATTATCATTACTGCCTATCTAATGCCTTTATCTCCCAGGTTGCTGCTGAACCAAGCCTTACCTCTTCATATTTTCCTACTGCTGAGAAATCCACTCAGGGGTAAAACAGACACATTTTTTAGCCGTTAAAAACCACAGTATTATTGAAAATTGACTTATTATTAAATGGTAAATTATTTTTTTAAGTGCTTATTTATATATAAAATCTCATTGGTGAGATTGCTCTTATCAGCAACAGGCAGGATTCTATCTCTCTCCTGCACAGCTCCTGTCCCTAAATTAAACATCTCAGAAACTGACCTCTCAGCCTATCACTACACGAGACATTCTCATGGCTTACGAATTCTTACTGCAAGAATCACACTGTCCTTGTCTTCCTCTCCACACACCCTTACTGCACCAGACAGGAATATCAGTTCTACTTGGTTTCCTCACTCTGGTACTCCGCAATAAAACCTCTAAAACTCAGGAACTTGACAGCAGGTTGCCAGAACATGGGAGTCTCCACTACCAAGTAAGTCCTGCTGCACGACACGGTAAGTACCTCCACAGGAGTTACGAAGATTTCAAGGCTGGGAACTCCAGCTGCAGCCTGGCACTAATGTACAGTCACAAATGATAGGTAAGAAGGGTGGAAGCAAGGATGGGTAGACTGGGAGAAGTACAAAGAAGACCTCAAAGCAGCCAGGTATCAGATCAGTAAAGCTAAAGCCTAGACAGCATTACAACTGGCCAGCACACCAAAGATAACAAGAAAAGCTTCTATAGGTACACCAGTGAAGAAAAAAAGACTAGGGAAAATGTGGGTCCTCTCCAGAAAATAACAAGAGACCTGGCCACACAGGACATGGAGAAGGCTGAGGTACTTGGTGACTTTTTTGCCTCTGTCTTCACCAGCAAGGGCTCAGGCCACACCATCAAAGTTGCAGAAGGTAAAGGCAGGGACTAGGAGAAGGGAGATGCACTCACTGTAAAAGAAGTGCTGGTTCAAAACCATTTAAAGAACCTGAAAATGCACAAGTCCAATGGACCTGAAGACATCCCTCCGTGACTCCTGAGGGAACTGGCAGATGAAGCTGAGAAGCTGCTTTCCACCATATTTGAGAAGTCATGCAAGTCTGATGAAGTTCCCACCAACTGGAAACAGGGAAACATAACCCCCATTTTCAAAAAGGGAAGGAAAGAAGACCCAGGGAACTACAGCCAGTCACTCTCACTTCTGTGCCTGGCAAGATCATGGCGCAGATCCTCCTGAAGGCTCTGCTAAGGCACATGGAAAATGAGGAGGTGGTTGGTGACAGCCAACACGGCTTCACCACAGGCAAATCATGACTGATAAACTGGTGGCCTTCTACAGTGGGGTCACAGCATTGGCAGACAAGGGCAGTGCAACTGATATAATCTACCCGGACTTGTGTAAAGCCTTTGAGACTGTCCTGCATGACCTCCTGGTCTCTAAATTGGAAAGATATAGATTTGATGGATGGATCACTTGGTACATAAGGAATGGGCTGGATGGTTGCACTCAAGGAGCTGTGGTCAACCAAATGGAGACCAGTGACAAGAGATGTTCCTCAAGGGTTGGTACTAGGACCAGTGCTGTTTAACATCTTTGTCTTTCACACAGGTAGTGGCACTGCGTGCACCCTCAGCAAGTTTGCTGGTGACACCAAGCTGTGTGGTGCAGTCAACATGCTGGAGGGAAAGAATGTCAACTGGGGGACGTGACATGCTTGAGAGGTGGGGCTCATGCCAACCTCATGAAGTTCAACAAGCCCAAGTGCAAGGTCCTGCACCTGCTTTGGGGCAATCTCAAGCACAAACACAGGTTGGGTGGTGAACGGACTGAGAACAGCCTTGAGGAGAAGGATGTGGGGGTGTTGGTTGATTGGGAAGCTCAACATGAGTCAGCAACGTGCACTTGCAGCCCAGAAAGCCAACCATGTGCAGGGCTGCATCAAAAGAAGCATGGCCAGAAGGTCAAGTGAGCTGATTCTTCCCCTCTATTCAGCTTTCATGAGAGACCCTGCCTGGAGTACTACGTCCAGTTCTGGAGTCCCCAACAGAGAAGAACATGGAGCTGTTGGAGCAAGTACAGAGGGCCAGGAAGATGATCAGAGGGCTGGAGCACCTTTCCTATGGAGATAGGCTGAGAGCTGGGGTTGTTCAGCCTGGAGAAAAGAAGGCTTCATTCAGGGAGACCTTATAGAGGTCTTCCAGTGCCTGAAGAGGCCTACAGGAAAGCTGGGGAGGGACTTTTTTCAAGGCTTTGTAGTGAGACAACCAGGGGTAATGGATCAAAACTGGAAGAGGGGAGATTTACGTTAGACATTGGAAGGAAATTCTTTAGTGTGAGGGTGGTGATACGCTGGAACAAGCTGCCAAGGGAAATTGTGGATGTCCCATCCCTGGAAGTTTTAAAGACAGGTTGGACAGGATATTGAGGAACCTGGCCTAGTGGGAGGTGTCCCTGCCCATTGGAGGGTGGTGGAAGTAGAGAATATTTAAGCTCCCTTCCAACCCAAACCATTCTATTATTCTATGTTTCTACAAAACTGCACAGGTGTCACTTGTGGTATGTATCACACTGTTAAGGAATTTCCCATTTAGGTAACACCACAGTTTTGCCAAGCTCAGTTATCATTTTAACAGCTTTGGAGAGGCATACAATTAATGTACTTACGCTTGTCTTTCTGTGAAAATTTTATCCACACTCTGAGCATCTCGGTCATTCTGAGCCTTTAACTTTAAAAAAAAAAAAGAAAAAAAAAAGGATATTTTGATATAATGTATAATAGTAAAGATACAGATTTTATACACAAAGTTTCCTGTAAATGAGCAAAAAGCTGCTCAGAATGTATCAGAGGAAGGAGCAGCAGAGGCTGCCTGCTCCAGAGGTTGTTCACAGTTAATACTGAAGGAAAACCTTCTGAAATTGCAGTCCTCCACTGGAAACCAAAGAAAGTAAGAAGGCACTTTGATGTTTGAAAAAGAAATACAATCAAGTTTGTAACGATTCAACCCACTATTACTGTGGGATCTATTCCTGGAACACTTAGTAAAATACTGCTTAAGCCTATAAACAAGATTAAAATATAACACTTGCAAAGCATTCTTCTCTTTATGACACAGACACTGTGACTTTATATTTCAAACACATATTGGGGGAAAAAAATTGTTTTCATCAAGAAATACTCAAGCGCTTTTTTCTAGCTACAAAAATAACCTTTCCTAAAACTAACTTCTTTGTTTATGGACAAAGTGGTCACAGGAATTGGAACATGCTTAATGTCACTCACATCTTAAGGTTTAGAGGAACAACCTGTTTTAGAAGTTAAAGAAAGAATGTAAAGGAAGGACTAAGCTCGTTGATTATGTTGTTGGCCATGTCAGAAATCTACTGACTATTTATTACACTGAAGTAATTTAAAAGGCAGAAGACAAAAGAGAAATACACAGGCAGCCCAGAGAGGTGGTTGAGTCACCACTCCTTGATGTACTTAAAAGCCGTATAGATGTGGTGTCTGGGCATATGGTATAGGGATGAACATGGCAGAGTAGGGTTGAAGGTTGGACTTGATGATCTTGAAGGCCTTTTCCAACCTAAATTATTCTATAATGCTGTAATTCCATAAGACCAGGCAGCTTTATAGAACAGTGCAGTCTAATGAATTTGCCTTTCATAAGACTAGTGTTCTATGCTTCCAAGTCCAATGAAGAATATAATTTAACACTCATAATTTGGGTTGGGATGACAGCTTTCTGAAATGTAAACCATAAAAAATTATCATGGGGCTGTCAATGCAATACTTCAGACATTCACCTCACTACAAACACATTGCTGATATTATGATTTATTTAACTGGAAGAAATATGGAAGTTTTATTTTAGTGCCATGGTTTTTTACATATGTCATAAGTTGAAAGCATCAAGAACATAACACAAACCATTACACTGTTCAAATATAGCAAACGTTCTAATTCTTACCATATTGTACTCTCTAATCACTTCCGCAGTATCTGTATTGGTGTTAAGTATATCCACAACCTGAAATGAGACAAAATTCCAATCTCTTATTGCTCTAATTACAGATCAAAAAAATGAAAAACAGAACCATGAAAACAGAACCATTTTCTGTTATTGCACAAGGAAGAAAAACATTATTTGGGAATCTTACTCAATTAGTCTTCAGAAGTATTCATAATTATGTATAGCTGTACCAAACCCACAAATATTACACAGCAGCAATTTCTTTAAACCATATTCAACTCCTTCTCGTAGTATGGCTGCATGTATAATGCACTTCTGAAAAATTTTGTCTTCTTTAGTTTCCATCTTTTTCCTCTCCCATAGTTGAATAAACCAAAATATTTTACAGAGAAATCTCAATTAAAAAGATGTCGAAGTAAAGCAAAAGCACTACAAAGTGAGAGAAGGGAGAACATTCAGTATCAAAAGCTAACAGCAGCATACCGTGTTGTAGTCTGCTACTTGACCTTGAAGTTCCTTTATTTCATCAGCTAAAGCCTCTGCCCTAAATATAAAACAGAAAGCCAAGTTTAATAAGGGACAACTTGTATATGTAAAAATAAAATAATGAAAAAATACTCTCAATGCCTTGTTGAAGCCTGCGCATTACCCAAGAATAGCCTTGTGACTTAGAAAGTTAGCACTGCATTAGCTGCAACACATCTCACCTTTTTTCATATGACAAATAGACAGATTTCTCTTGCTTGTAAGTTTCTACATCTTCCTGCAGCTTGTTAATTTCTGTTGTGAGTTCATTTGTTTTGGTTCTGCAAAAAACGAAGAAAAAAGAACCATTAACATTTGATTGTAAAACCACAACTCAGAAGTGACATCGTATTTTACTACAAGCGATATGCAAACAGTATCACTTTCTCACACTGCACCATGTTGCAGATCAGTATTTCAAAGTAGAGCTGAAGAAGTGACAAAAAAAGCAGAGTGGTTCTACCAGACAAAATCCTAAGTAGTTGGTAAAAACCCAGATCTGAAAGAAAATGTTTTGGTTTTGTCCCTGCTGGTGAAACAGATATGAACTATTCTCAAATGGATAGGACTAGGGAAAAAAATCACAGTATGATTTCATAGAATGTGGATATTATCCATATTTTAAATTACACCTGTTAGGACTGATTATTGTATACTGCAGTATTACACATTTGGCATGGTAGTGTATGCAATACAGATTCCACAAGGCCTTGTCTTTGTCAGTGTTAGCTCAACGTATCATCCAAGTAAGCCAGTTGAACTGTACACTGAAAAATGCTTAGTTTGTGATGCTATTTCTTAAAATGGAGTCATCAGACCTCTTGAGCATTACAGGTGGAAGCTCAAAAATCATTGACTGTCCTGTTACTAACACTGTGTGAGTACATTTAACTTAGCAAGTCTAGAAACAAAATGTCAATGGAATCTACTTGCACTTGGACATAAGCATAAAAATCCTTTCCTACAAAATACACGCAAAATATCTTAACTCCTATAACAGGACAGACTTCATTATAAGGCAACACCACTTAACTCAGGCTACAGCTAAGCACAAGAAACTTTATATCAGAAAGGGAACTGAGCATTAAACCTTCCCCAGTACAACTGTGTTGTTAAGACATACCTCAGCAGTCCTAAGTAATATGTTTTATCCATTATCTGTCTCTGAGGACCTGGCAAAGGAGTGTAAGACGATATTTTATTAGAAAACAACTGATTTTGATGAACTGTAAATTATTAAAACAAACTGCAGAATTTGCAGAGAATGCCATATTCTCAGTGATCTTAAACAGATTTTACCTCACAAAAAAAAGCACAGAAATGAATTCTAGGCTTGTGAAGAGAAACATTACCTTTTCAGATACATGAATAGTTACTATATAACAAAGTATTTTAATTATTCTGCAGTGATAGAACAAGATGAAATTTATTCTGTTCTGCTCTTCTGAATTATTTTTAAGTACAGCTAAGGCACAGAAAAGCCTTTGCCTTCTCTGACTGCCGAGAGAAAAGAAAATAAAAGAGGGATGCTATAATCTTCCATTCCTTTCTCCTGCTCCTGTTAATCACAGCTACTTACTCTGCAATTTATACAGCAATGAAAAGTTTCCCTTTAAAACATCAGTATTTCTTTAAAGCATTTGCAGACACGTGATAACCATTTTCTGTTAAAATTACCTTTCACTGCTGTTTTCATTCCACTTAATCCCTGTTGAGTCACTGGGCGGTCTGCAACTTTAATCTGAGATGGTAAGACTCCTCCAGTAGTTGAAGAAACACCACGAGAAACAGGTCTTGATGTACTAGGAGGCATCTATTGAAAGAAAAAACAAACAAAAAAAAGAAAAATCACAAGCCTCCCAAATCTGAGTTATGAATTTATTATCTTTATGCAAATGCCAAAATAATTAAACACTTCAGTTAGTCCCTGCACTGTTCCTGTAAGAATCTTTCAGCATCCACATCTCCTCATATAAATAAAGCTTCAGTAAAGGCCACAGAAGGGTGAGAGCTTACCTTTGAGCAGCTGTTAATTGTTCCCTCTATCTGCAACTGTAAAACTGTTGAGGTTTCCCAGGTGACCTCTTAATGCAAGACCTCCTTGGCCTCTTTTAGTCAAAGTTAGAAAACAAAACTCTCTATAAAATTAAAATCTTTAAATTCTTCCCAAGAAACTATCACTCCAGGTGATTAAAATTAACATATCAAGCAAACAAACAAAAAGATAAAAATCTAAATATATTTAAGTCAGCGTTCAGATTTTTTTAACATACCCCTGTTCCTATTCTGGTTGCTGACGGAGTCCTTGATGCAGAGGTAGGCTTGTGGTCAGCCCTATTCTTGCTGTCCAAGAAGGATGAGCTGTTGGAGGTCTGTGGCTGCTGGCCATACTTGTTCCCTTTTTTAGTTCTCACTGGAAAGAAGGACAGGAACAGTCTTTTACTTTGCACAAGCTCTTTAGAACTACCAGATTCCCTGTATTAAAAAGAATTTTGTTTTCTTTAGAAATCTGTAAAGCGCATCCTTTCTGGGAAAGTATAGTATGTGGCAGAGGCAGCCCTCAGAAAGGACCACAAAAGGTCCACCAGTCAAGTGAAACATAAGTGCCTTTTCAGTCTTCAGTGTACATTGTTAAAAGTCTTGCTAATTTTTTTGGCATTTGTTCCAGAATCTGCCCACAGAACTCAAATCGCTCATGAAAGAAACAAGTGAACAGCTGTTGTTAATACCCATTTGAGTCGCCTGTTAACAATCCTTCAGGCACCACCAGAGCAAACCCACCCCGATAAACCCCTGGCAGCTTTCACCAGCCCCTCGAGGAGCTCCTCCCCAGCCGCAGAACAGCTTCTCAACCGCTGAAGCTGCTCGGAGGGGGCCCGGGGGCTGAGGGGGCGGCGGCC